GTGTACCAACTGCATTAAGTAAAATCCAACTGTAGACCTGTGGGTGACACAGCTTAGAAACCTGCCCCAAGTACAAGAATCTGCTAACCAGAAGTACAAGAGCAAAAGAAGACAGAGGCACAATGAATATTACTGAAGACTCCCCTGCAAAGGAGCAGAATCCTTTACAAGTCTCAGAGTTCACCGAGGAAGACATCGAGAAAATGGGAGATACAGAATTCAGAATACTTGTTATAAAGCTTCTTATCAACAATGAGAAGCATGTAAAGCAGGCATTCAAGGAATTCAAGGAACATGTCACAGTGGAAATGAATCAAATGAAAGCCTTATATATCAGAAGTGAAGAATACAGTGGAGAAAATTATAAGTACTGTGGAGAGTCTCCAAACTAGAATGAAGCAAGCAGAAGAAAGAATCTCAAAATCAGAAGATATTTCCTGTCACCAGGGGGAAACAAACAAAACGCTGGAAGCAGAGCTGAGTCAAGCTAGAAAAAGTATTCAAGAGACACTACTAAAGGGCCAAATGTAAGAGCTATGGATGTCCCAGAAGGTGCAGAGAGAGAAGCTGGTTTTCAAATATATTTAATGAAATAATGAAAGCAACTTTCCCTAATCTGGAGAAAGAACTGGGAAACAAGATCCAGGAGGGATACAGAACTCTCTACAGGCTTGATCAAAAGCAATCTTCACCAAGACACATGATCATCAAGCTCTCTTCAGTCAAACATCAGCAAAAAAATCCTTAAATGTGCACATGAAAAACTCAGTTGACATATAAAGGAATGCCAATTAAACTCACAGGAGATCTCTCACAGGAAACTCTATAGGCAAGGAGAGAATGGAGTGACATATTCCAAATTCTAAAAGGAAAATAAAAATGGTTGGCCTAGGATAACAGATCCAGCAAAATCTTCTTTTTTTCTTTGAAAATGAAATAAAATCTTTCCACAGTAAAGAAAAGTTAAAAGAATTTGCCTCTTTCAAACCTGCCCTACAAAGGATGCATAAAGACGTTCTCTGGACAGAGAAGAGGAATAGCACCCACTGAAACCAAAGGCAAATGTGAAGAACATCCCAGTGAAATAACAACAGAAGACTAAACCAATGAACAACCCATTGCTAAAATGACAGGACCAAATTACCACCCATTCATATTATCCCTGAATGTAAATGGATGAAGCTCAATCAAATGTCATAGATTAGCAGACTGGATTGAAAAACAAAACCCATCTATTTGTTGCCCACAGGAGACACATTTTACCAACAATGATTATATCACGGGTCTTGATTTTTTTTGTATTTAATTTCATCTCTTCAAAACACTTTGTCAGTAAATTCTTCGTTGACTCATGGGTCATACAACAAACAGCATTATTTTCTTCAAGAAGGTTCTTGATTTTCTTTTACATTTTTTAAGAGACACATTATCCAATCAGTAGCATGTTATTTAACTTCATGGCATTGTTAAGTTCTTTTTTCTTCCCATTATTGATTTTGTTTTGTGGCTTTTCATTTAAGGGGATGTGCAGTAGCTGTGTAATGGAGACTGTCTTATCCAGTGGCATGCTGTTTAACTTCACGACATTGTAAATTTCTTCTTTTCTTCCTATTGTTGATTTTGTTGTGGCTTTTTTACTTGGGGAATTTATAGAGACTGTGTAGTAGAGACTGACATTTCCCGGTGAGGGGATATGGTTCAGTGTGCTTGTCTACTTCTGGATTGAGGATGAACTCCCAGTGAAAATGTTGGATCTGTCTTGACAATAGGATGCTGGACTCTTTGCCATTGTCCATGCCCGTAGTGATCGATTTATAACTTTTATGAGGTTGTTGTAATGATATGGGAGAACTCAGTGTGTGGGGGGAGTGTGAGAGGGATTTGGGGAGGTAGTAGGGAAAATCCCAGGGCCTATGAAATAGTTTAATATATGATAATTTTAAAATGTGAAAAAAAAAAAGAAAAATGTGTTTTGACCTGAAGAATTCAGAAAATTAAAACCTGAGTTAGGGGCCGGCACTGTCACCGCATATGGGTGCCAGTTTGCGGGCCTGTGTCATAGCTGCTCAACTTTTTTTTTTTTTTTTTTTTACAATCTTTACATAGTTAATTAGGGTAAAAAGTTTCAAGAGCTACAGGAAAGTGGGTAAGACTAGTATTTTTTCCATATTGTTTCCTTCATGTTTAAAGGGGGGTATTAAGGGAGAAGACCCACTCAATTTCCCACCCTCCCCAGGTCCCAGATGTACGGTATGCTCTGAGATTCTTGCTCAAGTGGTTTTGATAGTTCACCAGTTCTGAATTGCTGCCAGTCTTGCCACTCCAAGCACTAAGAGGTCCTTCAAGAATCCACTGATTGACATAGTCCATCATAGAGTCTCTGTTTGCCCCGTATTTCGTTGCCAAGATATAGCTAAGATGGTTGGTTGACCTGTTCTGTCTTCTCTCTTTTCTTGGTTAGGGTTCTGAGTCCAGCATTTCAATTGGGGAGATCCCCAAAGAAACTTTGTCAGAGGTGTTCTCAAACCAGACTCTTGTATGTGCTAGCAAGTACAGGGCCCAGCATAGTCCATGGCCCCGATCAGTTGGTGGTTGCAGTTGCTGGGTTGGTTCTGTTTTTAGCCCCTACTTCCACTGGAACCAATGGGTGTTGCAGTCCTGCCTGGTTCTGCCCAGCACATACTTGGCCCTCACATAAACTAGTAGGAGCTGCAGCCTAGTTGGAGCGACCCACAATAACCCCCACCAGGCCCACCCCCTACCCTGGTTTGCCATTATGTGTAGCAGTAGTCCAGTCTGTCCCACACCCCATTCCACCCCAGCCACTGTCCTAGTTTTATGCCCTCCCGTGGAAGTGGTAACCCAAGAGGGATGAGCCCACTATTTCCCTCCCAGGCCTCTCCCACTCCCAGATTATGCACTCTCCAGGTAGTTCTGTGGTTTGACTTGACAGAACTAGCCCCCAGTGCCAACTTCTGCCAGCTGATGCTGTGGCTAAGCCCAGACAACCCTCACCCACTTTAATTTTGTTTGCACCAGTAGGAATAATCAGCCCAGCCCGGCTTTTCCCTGATCTAGTCCACATGAGGCGCACAGATGTTGTAGCCCTGCCTAGTCTGGTCTGCTCCTATCCCAGCCCACGCTTTCCAGCGGGAGTAGCTGTCCTGCAAAGGAACCCTCCTTTATTCCCCTGCTGGCTCTGCCCCTTCCCTTCCTTGTTCTCACGTGTGCTGGTTGGGCACTGCGGTCCCTTCCGGTACAGGCAACCTCACCTCGGCATTCCATATTGTGCACTAGTCTTTGTTGCAACCGAACCTGGCTCGACCCACACTGTTCTGGTGCTTGGATTTGCCAGTGGATGACATGGACAGATTCAGCCTGGTCTTCCCCCGACCCCTGCCAGTTGTATGCCAGTGGGTAACTTTTCATGGCCTGTTCTGGGCTGTTTCCTATCATGTTTCTTGTGCTTACCTGCCGGGTCTTGTGTTCTGCCAGAGGAGTTGCCCAGGCTCCTCCATCAGAACCTCTCCCAATGCCAGGTTTCACGCTTACCAGTGGGTCCATGAACCAGCCCTACTCAATTCACCTCCTGTCATAGCAGGAACTGTGGCTTTTCCTGACTGGCCTTCAACCCTAACTGGTCCTTGCTGTTGGATGTTTCAGCCCAGCCATGGTTCGTCCATACCCACATATGGCTCACACATGGCTCAGTAGGGGTTTGAGACCTTGCCTAGTCCATCCCACATCTACCCTGGTCTTCCAGGACACCAGAGGGTGTTGGGGTCTGGCCCGGTTCGGTGCATCCAATCCCAGTCCACACTTGTGCCAAGGGAGACTACAACCATTTCCAGATCAGAACGCAGCCCCCATTCCAGGTGACACGCCCCTTGGTGGGACTTCAACCCAACTAGGGTTGTCCCCTTAGCTCCCCAACCGGGCCTGTTCCCAGCCATGGATCACATGCATGCCAGTGGTTGCTCTGACTCACCTTGGCACAACCCTTCACCTGTTCTGACCTCTGCTTTAGACACCGTGGCTTAGCGTCCCTGGCTCACGCAGACCAGTAGGTGCAAGAGCCTAGCTCGGCATGATCTGTGCTCCTTCCTGGTCTCTAGTTTTGCTTGAGGGCTAAGGTTTGCTCAGTCCTGCCTGATCTACCCTGTTCCATTACCAATTGACACATTTGCCATTACATTACAATTGCATTACATTACATTACATTAAATGGCTTGCTTAATGTGACCCTTCTCCTGATCCATCATCATGTCAGGTAACAGGTTATAATTCTGCAGGACAAGCCCAAAGACATAGCTTCAGCATGAACTGGTATTTGGTGGTCAGCATTGTTCAGTGATTACAAGTTTTACAAAGGAAGAGTTTCTGCCAATGGGAATCTTTACGAATGCTTCAGTTCCTAGAAGCACAATGGGTTTAACCTGGAGCTAACTAAGCAGCGACTCAAAGAACAAAACCCCAGAGCTCCCCGGTGGGCAGCCAGCAGGCAGAGCCTGGCACCAAGTGGCGCACTGACCACCCAGGGACAGCTCACTACGTGCACATGGTGGCTGTCGTCTGGGATCCAGGCATGAGACGCCCCGTCCTGAGACCCACCAGCAGCCGGAGCTGCTCAACTTGCAATCCAGCTCCCTACTAATGGCCTGGGAAAGCAGTGGAGGATAATTGGGCCCCTGCACTCATGTGGAAGGCCTGGAAGAAGCTCCTGGCTCCTGGCTTCAGATTAGCCCAACTGACCATTGCAGCCATTTAGAGGGTGAACCAACAAATAGAATCCGTCTTTTCCCTCTCTCTCTCTCTCTCTCTCTCTCTCTCTCTCTGTAATTCCTCTTTTCAAATTAGTAAATCTTTTTTTGTTTTTAAAGCCTGTAGTGGAGGAAATCAGGAGGAAGTTTAAAATATGTTTGAAAAGTCACATTTAAGGAAATCAACATCATCTATACAGAAATGGCCACTTATAACCTTCTTTATGTTTCCTGTTACAGGTGTGTAGAGGTGGTGAAAGCTTCTCAGTATGTAGAGCTAGCCAATGACTTGGAAATAAACAAAGCTATTACATACTTGAGACAAAAGGACTTTACCCAGGTAAGTTTCAAAAAGAAGTCTTATATGCTGACTGATTAAAGCAGTAAGAACAGGAAAACTCCTTTCTAGAATAAGTTAGCTATGATTATTTTGAAGCTGGAGTAATATTTTATATCTTTACATAGTTTTCATTAATATAGCTTTAAGCTTTTGAAAAACTTGTCCTATTTGTGTAGCTTCTTAAAATGTAAATATCTTCCTTGAGGTTTGTATCTGTCACACAGTAGCCAAGGTACCAGTTGGGAGCCCAGCGCATTGGCTCAGTGGCTAATCCTCACCTTGCATTCACCAGGATCCCATATGGGTGCCGGTTCTGATCCCGGCAGCTCCACTTCCCATCCAGCTACCTGCTTGTGGCCTGGGAAAGCAGTCGAAGATGGCCCAAAGCGTTGGGACCCTGCACCTGCGTGGGAGACCCAGAAGAGATTCTGGGCTCCTGACTCAGCTCTGGCCTCAGCGGCCACTTAGGGAATGGACCAGCAGATGAAAGATCTTTCTCTCTCTTTCTCCTTCTCTCTGTAAATCTTTTTTCTTATATAAATAAATAAAATTTAAAAATAGATACCACTTGGGACACTCACATTGCATAGAGGAGTGTCACGTTTCTCGTCCTTGCTCCCCTCCCTTTTCCAGATGTTGATGCAGCACCTGGGAGATGGTGGCTGATATAGTTGGGCATCTGTCTCCCATGTGGGATACCCCGGTCGAATTCTCAGCGCCTTGCTTCAACCCAAGCTTCCTTGTGCGCTGGGTAACTGAACCAACAGATAGAAGATCTCTTACTGTGTCTTTTCAAGTAAATTAAATAGGAATATTTTCAGAAAAAAAACTTTTTTAAAGATTTGTGTGAAGGGTAGAATTATAGAAAGAGAGAGATGCAGAGTGAGAGAGATCTTTCGTTTGCTGGTTGATTCTCCAACTGGCTGTAACAGTTGGAGCTGAGCGGTGTGAAACCAAGAACCTAGAACTCCATCTGGATCTCCCAGTGGTTGCAGGTGCTCAAGCACTTGGGCCGCGTTCCCCTCTTCTCCCAGTTGCTTTTACAGGGACCTGGGTTAGAAGTGGAGCCGTAGAGATTGTGCCAGTTCTGCAATATGGGATGCTGATATTGAAAGTGGTGACTTAGCCCATTGTGCTAGCTTCTCAAAAATCTTTTTATTCCAACTTTTTTGCTTGTAAATCCTGGTTGCTAAAATGCCAGATAATATTCTACTCTAGAGATGAATGTTCACCTAACAGTTTGGACACTAAGGTTTTTCGAATCAGGGATGGTGTGTAGAAGGCAAGCATATCTGGAGGCCAGATAACTTCCAGATCTACTTCCATCCTACATCCTCACCAGAGCAGCTCTCTCGTAGTATGCTTGGTTTGTTTATTGATGCTGCATTGGGAATGAAAGGGTGGCATTGTGGGCCAGGCTGGTAAAACCTTGCACTGGCACCGACCTTGGGTGGAGCCAGGACCATGAAGGCAGAGCCGACCCAGATCAGAAGACCCAGGCAGTTTTAAGAAAGCATAAAGAGTGAAATTTGGCTTCATAGTTCATAAATCAATGGTTAGTTGTTTTCTGCGGCTGGAAAAACAGCTCTGGGGATTAGCTGCACAGAATAAGGCCAGGGCATGCTCCCACGTGTCCCAGTGTTCTTCCTAAGGTTGTGTCTGTTTCTTCACTGAGGACCTGCTTGTAGACTGATCACTTTCCAGGGGCATGAGGAGACTGTAAAAGTAGAATAAAGGGACCCCGGTGTTCATGTAGTAAACACAGGATTAATGTGGCACAGTAGCGTGGGTGGCTCTGCAATGCATGTCAGCTTACTGTGCTTAATATCTATTATTTACAAAGCACTAAAAAAACTGCAGAAGATGTTTGCATCTGCTCACACCCTTGGTCATAAAAGATGCTACTGATGGTTTTCTAACACCATTCTAATATTTTTTCAGTGAAAGTAAAATGAGGCAGATTGGTCTTCGTTATCTTACTAATCTGTGGACCAAAAAAATTGTGTGTGTGTGTGTGTGTGTGTGTGTGTGTGAGAGAGAGAGAGAGAGAGAGAGAGAGAAATGCACTATTACTGGTGCCGTGGGGAAAATCATTCTTGTTAGTTTTCTCTTGGCATTTTGTTTTTAAATGACCTTTGCGCGAAGGACTAACAATGCACTGCCACTTTCGTGTTTTAAAACCTGTGTCCATTAAAAAAGAAGCAGCTTACTTTCTTCATGCTAAAACACGTTTGACACAAATTTTGTGTGCTCTCTTAGCTGTTCTCTTTGTGTTCTGTTTGTGTTTTCACATTTTTATGTTAATTTAACAGTATTTTTTAAATGCCATTTTGCTTTCCTTTTCTACATCGCTGCTTTCACCCTATGTATCTTTGTATATTGTAAGTATGATGAGGTGGGTATGAGATACTCTGGGGTTTAAGTGAGGCACTATTAGGTTAAAAAGCATTGAGTCAGTGTGTCTCCTGACCACCATCTACTCTCGGCTTCTTTATCACAATCCACAGTTCAAATGGGGAAATGCCCATCCTGCAGGCCATATAAAACCTGTGAAATGATTTAGTGTGACCCTGCCAAGGCAACCAGAATTCAAAATTCAGTGAATCTGTAGCAGGCCAATTAGAAAGCTGAAATTCTGTGAATGATATTATCAATATCCAAATGGCCCTTAGCAGAATAAAGCTTCCCACTTCTCTAAGGATAGAGTTAGCTTTAAATATATGTATTTTTCAGATAAGATGTCAGAATCACAGAATACATTTACTTGTGGCAAAAATGATATTTATAGCCACTTCTTGAATAGAGAATAACTCCACTGGAAAGCCAAAGGTAAATGGAACGTTGTTGCAGGGGCCAGTGTGAATGTGGCACAGCCTAACTGGGGAGCTGAGGCTGAGAGCTGGCAGGGAAAACCAAAATAAACTTACAACAATTTGCTGGTCATTTGGGGGGACTAATAAAAACACATAAATAGGGGTGGTTTTTTTTTTTTTTTTTAGTATTTGTCTTGATTTTTATAACTAAATTCAATTTTGACATTGAGTATGCCGTTATCTTTCATTTGTAAATAAATAATTTGTAGCATTTTACCTTTAAAAACAATAATACTAGTTATGCAGTCACTGAGACCAAAAAAAAATACCCTAGAGTGTTCCTTTGGTTGGAATAATCATATAGCCCTTCTAGAATAGTTCATGCTTCGACTCTGTCAGATATCCTTAAAGGAGTGTTGTAAGTTCTAAATTCCTTTCTTCTTTTAAGTAATAGCTTTAACTTCATTGCCTCCCATGTATTGTTCGGATTTATGGGACCCATTTGGGAAGAAAGAGGATTATATGTTAAATGCAGCCTTCAAGCACTATTAGTCAGCTGCAAAGTAGTAAATGACAGGCTTGTAAATATATCTCTTTGACTACAGTATAAATGACTGCTTCTAAAGGAATTATATAAATCCCTATAATACCCCTTTGAAAAGGCAGTCATTACTACTTGTTAGTTTTCTTTTTGTATGCTGTTACATAACTGTCATAAATATTGGGGAGCAGCTTGCTTCCCCTCTGCACTTTGTGTCAGAGAATTTGATAGAAGCTTTATTATACCTATTCAGGTACCTTGTATTTGGGAGTAAGGCATACATTTATTATGACAGAATCTAAAAGTCAAGATTAAAACATCTCAGTTGCTATTCAAAATCCACTGCAGCTTATATAACTCTGAGATTCAAAACAGCAGTGGCTTTCACGGTAATATCTGTGGAGGTTATGTAATGAACCCAGTGAGCTTCCACAGGATGAGCAATATTGGCAACGGGGAGTTTTGAGGTAAGTTTAAGGAACTTGTAAGATCCTTCCCAAGAAGTGAATGAGAAATGAAATCTCAAAAGTGAGGTTATATGATTGAGTTTTTCTTTTCTAGTGTTGACTTGGTGAAATTATAAAATTCCAGCCAAGAAAATTCCAGTTTCCTTTGAAATCATGAAGATGCTTGAAGAAAATAACAGCATATTCATGTATTAACTAAAATATATAGAATCCAGTATTTTTTGAAGATTTGACCCTTTAAAAAAAAAAAGCAATCGGCGTGCTTACTGTCCTTCAGTTCAAATCCCTCATTGGATGCTGGCCATTGCCGTCATCACAGCTTGGTGTAATTAATAGTTGTAGGAACGACCATCGGAAAAGCGGAAGCAGCACGCTCCAGGAGGGGAGGGTTCCTGTCTGGTAGAGTTACTGTGAAAGAAGGAATGAAGAGAACCCGTTGCCTTTCTCTACCTTTTTCTTTCCCTTCAGATACTCTGTGCTAGGTTGGGTACTCGCTTGCTTTTCATGCGAAGTATCTTGACCATCCTGCATAGCATCTGTTTCGTTAGGATAAGCTGACACGTCAGGTGGCTAAAGATATAATTCAATTTCTCGTGACTTGAAAACATAATTGTCTTGGACTACTTCAGATTGTTAAATATTTCCAGAATTATTTTCTGTTATTGGTTTGGAAAATTCCTCCCCTTCTGGAACTCCAGTCCCCATCTGTGTTAGACCTTCTCATTGCATTCCCATATGTCTCTCATATTCTTTTCTCAGAACATTTTTTTTTAACCTTATCTTTTGCCATGCTTTATTTAGTCTGAACATTTTCTGGGATCTTAGCCTTCAAATTCTAGTTGCCTTCAAAAATATATTTTTAGTGTTTCCTGCAAATTGTCTAGTTGTCCTGTATAGGACAATCATGCACAGTCTCTTGGCTAAGGCCTTTGCAACACTCATCCGCCACCTGCCTGCGAGCTGAGCGCTGACCTGTGACTCGCTTCGCAGGACCCGCCAGGCTGCACCTTGACCCTGACCTTGCAGTCCCCAGTGCTCTGTTGACTGTATCTAAACCCCTGGTAAATCCATCTGTGTCTTCTTAATGTCAGTTACTATGTTTTTTGTTTCAGAACTTCTGTGTTGCTGTTCCTTGACCAGTTTCACCCACCTCTTCCATCCCTTTCCCTGCTGTTAGTCTCTGCTCTTGCTGCTCTTCCTCAACCATTGCCTTAACCAAGTGCTGCCATGTTTGAGTAGTTGTAACTTTCAGGTATTCCACTTCCAGGCTGTAGATACCTTAAAAATGTTTGAGAAGAAGGACAGTCGAGTGAAAAGTGCAGCTGCAACCAACCTCTCATTCTTATATTACCTGGTAAGTTTTGTGTTTTACAGCTCATTGTTGATTCCGTGGTATTTTTCTGTTGCTAAATTTCTTCCATGGGAGCAAACCTAAGGAGAGGCCTCAGGAAAGACAAGTGGGGAATGTAATCAGAAACATAAACATAGATGTTGCAAGGTGATCGTACAAGTGCCAAGCCAGCAGTTGGGTTTGCAGACAGGAGAGGGAGGTGCAAAGTGGAATACATCACACCGTAGAATCATGGGACACAGGGATGTGAGCTAGAGGTGTCGTTCAGCTTCCTCATGTTAGTGATAAAGTGGTATTTTAGGTTACATGATTTATGTAAGCTTACAGACTATCATCTGTAACAAGCATTCATTGAGCGCCTACTGGATGCCAATCATTGGAAATATCAAAAGTTGAGGAGCTTTCTTAATTTGGAACAAAGGAGGCAGGTGGGTAGACTAGGAAGGAGGTTCAAAACAGAGAACAATAAATTAATGTGGATAATAACTGCTTCAGAAATCCAGAAGAGACATAACAACTTAGGGCCTTCAGGGAAGATTTCGTGGAGAAGTTGGCTCCTGAAGGCAAGCGTGTAGATGAGTGAGAGGAACTGATGGGATAAGCAAGAACAGAGGCAGGAAGGCCCTGAGAGGGCAAGTGTACAGAAGAGTCTGTGTTTAAGCTCAGACTACAGATGCAGCCCCTCCTGCAGCTCGTGGACTGTGGCACTGAGAATCACTGCTGAGCTCAGCTGATGCGTCTAGCACTACATGAGGAAGAGACTTCAGGAAGTTCATGGGAAAACAATTTAAAAATAAGCTTGTTTTGACACAAAGCAGCTTTGAAACCCGTATGTAACTTTTCCTAATATACATCTTCCGCAAATGTTTTGAAGTCCCTTCGTGTCATTCAGTGCATTCACATGAAGAGGTATCAGAGCCATTTGTGAGGAATGACTCTAGTGGGTTGTACACCCACTGTAAGAGATTGTTGCTAGTTGCATGTCCAGAGGAGGGTACTCATTAGAGGCAATAATGCCGAGTTTAACTGTATTTAAAAGGACTTTATTTCAGAACAGTGATAACATTCAAAATAGCATATATGGCAAGAGGAAATCAGGGTGGGCAATGGAGTTTGATGGTCATCACTGTAGAAGTTACAGCTTTGATCACAAGGGCTCTCACCCAGGTGACCACAGAGCACAGAACTAAGAACTGGCTTCGGGATGTGAATTTACCCAAGCGGCAGGGGGAAGGATCAGATCAAGCATGATGACATTAAAGTGAAGGAAGGGCAAAGGGAAAGTGTGTGGTTGCGAAGCTGGAGGAACTTGACAAGAGAACCAAGGCAGGCTCTGAGGTGGAGAGGCATGGCTGTTGGCGAGAGCTCTTCACATCAGTACGTGGGGCTAGGGAAGGGGTGAGTGGCTGATGGGGGGAAGCAAGCAGGGTTGGACACTTGCTGTGCAGTCACCACAAGGCCTGAGCGCTCGTAGGTCCCTCATAGAGTGAGGGGCCTGGACCTTTATTCCCTACATCAGCTTGTCTTGAGTACCATCTGTCCCCAAGAAGGCACACCCAGGAAGGGAACAAAGTACCTCTGTCTCTTCGGCGTAGGGGAGGCACCTGTCAAGGCTGCCAGCAGAGGCTTGTGGCCAGAAGACACGACTCAGGAACAAAATGTAGTGTCTGTTATGGCCAGAACATTCTACATTTAAAAAATCATTCGTGAATTTTGTGAAATGAATGACTATATCTTCACCAAATTTAATAAATGTAAGAGATCAAAAGGACATTTAAAGAAGCAACAAAGATAATTATTTGCTCGATTGAGCAGAGCCATTTGGACATTTAACCAATAACTGATTGTGCCTGGCTCTAAGGGGAATGGCATTCATGAAGGGAAATGGTGGTAAGAAACAATGTGTTGGCACTGGTGTTGTGGTGCCATGAGCTGAGCTGCCTCCGTAATGCCAGCATCCCTTATTAGCTCACCAGCTCGAGCTCTGGCTGTGTGCCTCTGACCCAGCGCTCTGCTGCAGTATCTAGGGAGGCAACAGAGTGGTTTGGCCACTACCACTTATGTGGGAGACCTGGATGGAGTTTAGGCTCCTGGCTTCCGCTGGCTTCTCCCACTTCAGCCCCAGTCATTGAGGCCGTTTGGGTAGTATACCAGTTGATGGAAAATCTTTCATTTTTTCTCACCCTCTCTTGGTGATTCAGCCTTTCAAATAAATAAATCTCTAAACAAACCAACGAACAAGGCACGAACCACCCTAGGGCACCAATATTGGAGGTTTGATTCATTTGGGAGCCATTATATTATTGCCTACACTGGATCCCAATTATTCATGTCTTTCCCATAAACCAGATATACTTCCCTCCCCCAAAATTCTAAGAGCCTCATCTAATTATAGCATGAGGCTCACAGGATCCATATTCGGGTCTGGATAGAAATGGGGCCTTGAACACAGTTCCTGTTTCAGTTGATCCAGAGATATGTGAACAAAGACATGTCATGTGCTCCCCTACACACTCATAATCCCCCAGTATGACAAAAGCAGCCAAAGTGTAGTAAACGCCCTCGATCCTTAACAAACCTGAAGCCTGGCTCAGCGCATAGGCAGTGTCTCCTCATCCGGAGGAACAACAAACACAGCATTTAATTAAGAGCCAGCCCTGCTGCCCGGGAGTGCTCCGTTGCCCTTTGTGGCCCATGGCTCTGCCCTCTGAGACAACCTGCTTTCTGTCCAGAGAAATTTGGAATCCGGAGGCCTGTTTTCATTTTGAACTGCCCATGTCCCTTGAATCCATGCTAGCAGTGCTATTATCAGGATAGCTGCTTGGACAGTTCTCTGTAAGTTGCACAGCGGTTTCCTTTGTGGCCCAGAAGCCACATCCTCAAGGCTTTTGAATGCAGGCCCTTTTCCATCAGGCATGCAAAGATGCTATGAAGAGTCTGAACAGGGTTTTTGTGGGTTTTTTGTTTGTTTGTTTGTTTGTTTGTTTGTTTTTACCCTAAGAGGGTTTGCTGGGTACAATACTAAATTCTGCTGAGATTTTTGCAAAGTGTTAGAGCTGTATTCTTGTATTAACTCCTGCCCTGCAACTCTTTTGCCATCAAAAATAACTGGCAGACTTAACATGACATTTTTATTTTCCAACCTAGCAAGTCGTGCTTCTTTTATATTTCTCTCCAAATTATACTTGCAAACTTAATAGTACTTTCCTTAGCTCATCTCTGCATTTGTGTGTGTCTTCCTTAAAATAAGTCAATTGACACTTGCAGTATTTTGCCTGGGGATCTTCTTAGCCACATGCAGTACTCATTATGTACCTTCTATTTTCTGAGTTACTACAGGTACCTGTTTTGTTTATTTTTAATTCTGTTTGAACGGCAGAGATAGAAAAGCAAACAGGCATGGGGAGATCTTCCACCCAATGGTTCCCTCTTCAGTGACCACAGCGGCTCTAAGCCGGGCTGCTAAAGCCAGGAGCCCTGAACTCCAACTGGTCCCCCACATGAATACAAGTCCTGCATTCATCATCCACTGCTTCGCAAGGTGCACGTAGCAAGAAGTTGGAACTGGGCCCAGCATGGTGGCCTAACGGCTAAGGTCCTCGCCTTGAATACACCAGGATCCCATATGGGCCCCGGTTCTAATCCTGGCAGCTCCACTTCCCATCCAGCTCCCTGCTTGTGGTCTGGGAAAGCAGTTGAGGATGCCCCAAAGCCTTGGGACCCTGCATCTGTGTGGGATACCCGGAAGAGGCTCCTGGCTCCTGGCTTCAGTCTGGTGCATCTCCTTCCGTTGCTGCAGCCACTTGGGGAATGAATCATCGGATGGAAAATCTTCCTCTCTGTGTCTGCCCCTCTCTGTATACCTGACTTCCCAATAAAAATAAAATGAGTCCTTTTTTTTTTTAAAGTTGGAATTGAAATCCAGGCGCTTCCACTGTGGGATGCAGGTGCCCCAAGAAGCATCTTAAGCATTACCGTTAAGTGCCTGCCCCTGTAGGTGTCAGTTTGCGATCTGCCCGGATTTCTTTGGCTCATTTGCTGATACACGTTGACAAGAAGCCAATATTCAACTCAGGCAAGGTTTATCAGGGTGTTACACTCACACCAGTGAAACAGTTCCATGGGAAAAAGTTCCACAGCTGACCCTGGAGAGGAAGCTGAATGGGAGGATATGGCCACTCCCTGTCAGTCTCCAGGCAGAATTCAAAGCGGCAGTGTTCCTCACTGCTGCCTCCCTGCACGGGCCCCCCTCCCCAGTCTGGGCTGCTGTGGACACGTGTGGTTGGGAAGTCCCAGTGGGTCTTCAGTGGTTAGCGTGTAGATGCCTCTGGCTCCTGATCGATTTGGAGCCAGGATGGATAAGTGTGGCGTCAGGAGGAACTCGGTTTTGTGAGTTCATTTTTACTCTCCATTTGGCAGTTCTGAGGGTCTAATGAGCACAAAGCGCTCACCAAGGACGCACTGTGAGCAGGGGCAGCGAGGGCAGCGAGGGCAGCGAGGCCTCCCAGCTATTTCAGTGCTCCAGGTGGGAAGGGGAGTGTTGGCAGCCAACGAGGACATGGACTTGGGGCGTTGAACATGGAACCACCTACGTGTTCTAACCCTGTTATTCCAACCCTGAGGCTTGGAAGTCAATCACGAGAAACTTTTGAGCTTGATGATTAAACATCTTGTAGAAACAACCTATCAAGAGCAAGGTATGTAGAATGTGTGTCACCACATCCGCAACCTTAGAAAGGCTGCTTAGCTATTCTCAGAACAGACAGCGAAGATGCTCGCTGACATGCAAACGTTTATTTATCTTTTTTTTTTCAATTTAGGAAAATGAATTTGCACAAGCCAGCAGCTATGCAGATTTGGCTGTAAACTCTGATAGATACAATCCATCTGCTCTCACCAACAAAGGGAATACTGTTTTTGCAAATGGTGATTATGAAAAGGCAGCTGAGTTCTATAAAGAGGCGCTAAGAAATGACTCCTGTTGTACCGAAGCGCTTTACAATATCGGTAAGTGAAACCAGGACAAATTGCTTTTGCTCACCTGCTCACTAAGAGGAGGAGTTGACTTCCTCTTAACAAAAAGTTGAAAAGACTCTCAGATTATTCGAAATGGAGCTAATGATTCAAAATCTATGCACTTACTAAATTTGGGTGACTGTTGTCATAGTACCCCTTCTAAATTTTTCTTTGCAATATACTATGTAAAAGTAACAGATTTTACAAATTCTTGCTGATGTTAGGTATCATTATTCTTTAATTTTTGCCAAACTTTTGCCAGACTTCATTTGTTCCCTTTTAATTATGAACAGTTTTCAATAAATGAAGAAATCTGTAACAACAGCAAAGCTAGGGAGAATGGACAGGTATTTGTCAGTTAGGTACAGTTCACATCTGAGCACCTGGGCTGGGTCCCCAATGCCAGCTCCTGCCTCGCCCCCCGTCTGCCCACACAGAATGGGGCTGAAGCCGGGAGCTGGAAGGCAGTCCCGGTCTCCCAATTGGGTGGCAGTAATCCAGCTGCTGAGCTGTCGCTGCTGTCCCACAGGAGTCCACTTCAGCAGGAAGCTGTGGGACGTGGCATCCTCACCAGTGACCTGCAGATGTTGCTTTTAATAAAATAACAGAAACCATGAGGGCTGTCCACATATCCTGCATCCTTGTTCCCTGGCAAGAGTTTGTGGGCTGGGAATATGCTGATTTCCTTGAGGGTTTATTGAAGTCCTTTTTTTTTTTTTTTTTTTAAGATTTTTTTTTTTTCTTGGAAAAGCAGATATGTAGGAAGAAAATCTCCCGTCTGCTGGTTCACTCCCCAAGTGGCCGCAAAGGCTGGAGCTGAGCTGATCTGGAGCAGAGTTTCCTCCAGGTCTCCCACACGGACACAAGGGCCCGTCTTCTACTGCCTTCCCGGGCCACAAGCAGGGAGCTGGATGGGAAGCAGGGCCTCCAGGATATGAACCGGCGCCCATATGGGATCCCAGCAGGTGCAAGGCTTAGATTTAGCCATCACACCAGGCCCTACTGAAGTCTTTTTTTAGGGGGGTGGGCGCATTTTTTTCCTTGCATAGGTGTTTTGTACTTTAGGAAGTTCACTTGTTTTATTGGTTTTTTTGTTTGTCTGGTTTTCATCTATGGCTTTTTCTCAGGATCTAATGACCTTGGGCTCTCTGCTGCTCTTTAGGAGCGCACGAAGCAGACTGGCATCTCTGGGGGTGTGAGTGGCGTGGACGCACTTTGCCATAAGGCCATGAATTTGGTGCTGCATCTAGCTGGGTACCTGCCCATCAGTCAACTAGTTCTTTCTTCCTGAAGACTCTTCAATCTCCTACCAGAAGGAGGAAAAAAAAAACCCTCTGCCGACCTGGGAGAATGGGGCAACACGAAGGAACCAGCAGTTTTAGCAGGGGTCAGGCAGGCCCGTCCTGAGAAGTCACTTTTCAAGTCCTTTGGGAGGTGGCCAGGGTGCCAGGGTGAGACAGTCTGTTATCTTGGAAGAGAGGAACAAAGGCTTTCCATTGCAGCTTGCTAGTCTAGATGTATTCTGATTTATTCACTTTTTAAGTTTTAAATATTTTCTCTACTCCACTGCTCAAGTTCTAACTACGTTTGTGGTTTCTTTGATGAAAGTTTTTCTATTAATATAGTTGTATTTGACTTTCAAAATTTTGTGGATATTTATGTGGTTTTGCTTTTATTGATTTAGGAAGCGCTTTCCTTACACCACAATTACAAAATCATTATTCCATGTTTTCATATTTTTAAAGCTTTATTTTTTACTACGTTTTCCAGTAAACTCAGTATGTTTTTATGAAATAAGAACCTATATTTCTACTTCAAGATTCATAGAAAACAAAATTGAAAATTATTTCAGCACTAAATTTTTTTATAATGAATTACTTTTAATTTTGATGATGTTTACGTAGTTGAGAGGGATGCATAGCCGTGTGGACAACCAGTTAGGGTGGGGAGGGTCGTGGGATGGGGGAAAGTAGATGAAGCAGTGCCTCCAGTCTCCTTGTTACTTCCTGTATCTGCAGAAAAAAAGGAAAAGAAAGGGAGAGGGCCGCTCCCATCAGCCCAGTCGTATCGGCACCCATGAATGGGGACCAGCTACCCGATGTCACCCCAGGGTCCCCATTGTGGAGCATGTGCTGAGGCTACTGCTAAAGTGATCTCAGCAGTTCTGAGACACTCTTGACTTTGTGGCTCCGTGCTTGAGGAAATCCTTCCAAGGTCCATTGGTTGACACAGTCCACCTTAGAATCTCAGTTCACCCAGATACTCACTGTCAAAGCCTGACAGAAGAACTGTCCGATTTGTTCTGCCCTCCATGGCACCAGATGTCCTCTGCAGGCCTCAATGTACTGGTTGTCATGTCTCCCATGAGCATCTGGGCATGCCATCCATTGCACCCTCTTTAGCAACTGAGGCAGCCAAGTTCTGACGCATGTCCTTTATGATCAGATCCAAGATCCTGCAATTTTCCTGGAGTTTTATGTCCAGTGATCCAGTTGTGGGGGTCCCCAAGAAACTTCACCAGAGGTGACCTCAACCTGACTCCTGTGTGTGCCAGCCAGCGCAGGGTCTGACTCAGTCCACCACCCACTTCAGCCTATACACACAGGTGGTTGCAGTTACCTGGTCAGTTCTGTCTCCAGCCCCATCTCATATGCAAACCAATGGATGCTGCAGCCTAGCCCAACCCTACCCACCACACACTTGACCCTCACACACACCAGCAGAAACTGCAGCCTAGTTGGAGTGAGCTCCAATAACTCCCACCAGGCCTGCCCCCAGCCCTGATTCTCATGCTCACCAGTGGGATATGCTACCCATCAAAGGAGTGCCCACACTTTCCCTACTAGGCCCACTCCCAACCCTGGATGACACTTTTCCAGGTCAGTCTAGCCTGATGCAACTTGCCCCCGTTGCCAGCATTATTAGCTTATGCTGTAGCAAAGCCCAACCAGCCAGCACTTACTCTGGATCATGTATGCCCCAGTGGATACAATCACTTGGCCCAGTCTGGCTCTCACCCTAAACCAGCTCACATGTGAGCCAGTGGGCTTTGTAGCGCTGCCCAGCCTGATCTACCCTCATTCCCAGCTCTCAAACTCACCCATGGGAGCAGTGACCCAAAACCCTCTAAGCTCTCCTATCGTTTTCACTCCCCCATCCTGGGTCTTATGTGTGCACTAAAAAATTTTTAAATCCATATGTATGAGGGAGTCTTTTTGAGAGTTCATGAAAATGTGTATTATGAAAAAGTTATGTACAGATTTCAAATTTTGTTTGCACCCAAATAAACTTATCTTTCATTTTTTTCCCAAACTTTTTGAAATACCTTCATAAGGTTGTTTGTCCTGATACCACTTATTTATAACATTGTCTTTTCCTTTATTTTTATCTATTTACTTTTCATTGTATTTGAAAGGAAGAGAGAGACTCTACCAGTTCTCTCTGCAAGTGCTTATAACACCTAGGAGTGGGACAGGCTCAAATCCAGGAGCTAGGAACTGTATTGGGGCCTTCCACGTGTGTAACAGGTGAGCCCTCACCTGCTGCCTCCCAGGCGTGTGTTAACATCAAGCAGCAAAGCCAGGATGTGAAGCAGGCATTCAGGGGTGCAGTGTGGGCATCCCAGGCAGCGACCTCGCCGCGACACCCAATGCCAGTCCTTCCCCCCGGTCTTGAATGCCTGTTAGCTAGATTCTACAATGAGTCCATTTCTAAACTATATATTCTGCTCTATTTGTCTGATTCTACCTCCAGCTGAAATTTAAAAATCGCTACAACTCCATAGCCTGTTTTATCCATGAGAATTCCTGTTACTCTCATTGCGCTTTTTAAAAAATCCTCAGTTCGTCTTCACTCTCTTCTGGCCGAGTGTTTCCATGTTGGCCCTCAGTGTCTGTGGAGGATTGTTTCCAGACCATGGTAAATACCAAAATCTGCTAATGTGCCAGTCTGTCATAAAAACTGGCACGCTATGGGGCCCGGCGCGACAGAGTAGTGGTTAAGGTCCTCGCCTTGAACGCGCCGGGACCCCATATAGGCGCCAGTTCTAGTCCTGGACACTCTGCTTCCCATCCAGCTCCCTGCTTGCGGCCTGGGAAAGCAATCAAGGACAGCCCAAAGTCGTGGGACCCTGCACCCACGTGGGAGACCCGGAAAGAGGTTCCAGGCTCCTGTCTCCAGATCGGCACAGCACCAGCCGTTGCACTCACTTGGGGAGTGAATCATCAGACAGAAGATCTTCCTCTTTGTCTCTCCTCCTCTCTATATATCCAATAAAATAAATAAATCTTTTTTTAAAAAACCTGGCTAGCTATGAGCATTTACATGAAATTCACACGCATCTCATACACTATGCATTATCTCTAGAGGACATATAATACCCAATGCAGTGTACATGCTGTATTCACAGTGGTTTTTGGTTTTTAGGAATAACAACGAGCAAATAAGTCCACATATCTGATACATATACAGTTTTCTGTGTTTACAATCCATGATTGAATTGCTGATGTAGAACCTGTGGTTTTGAGTAGCCGAATACTGGCTATAGTAATGTTTGCTTTCTTTGTTTTCTTTTTGAAGGCCTTGCCTATAAGAAGCTGAACCGGCTAAATGAGGCTTTGGATTGCTTTCTGAAGCTCCATGCTATCCTACGAAACAGTGCCCAAGTTCTTTACCAGATTGCAAATGTGTATCTTATTTGGAAAACTTAAGGATAATTATCCATTCAGTTGGGATTGAGTATCCATTAGTAAATAAGTTTAGCCAGTGAAATAATTGAGGAACATAAGAATACAGAAAGATGGAAGTGAAAGATAATGTGTTTTCTCATGAACTTTTAGAAAGAATTATCTGTTTGAAAAGTGGAGTTACAGAGAGAGGAGTGAAAAACAGAATGAGAACGAAAGCTCTTCCATCTGTTTATGTCCAAGATACGCCCCGCTTCCAGGGCTGCACAAGGCTGAAGCCGGAAAGCCAGGAACGCCCTCTGGGGCTCCCACGTGGGTGACGGGACACCCAATGCTTGGGCCATCCTCCGCGCCCCTCCCACACACATTAGCAGGAAGCCAGATCAGAAGTGCAGGGCTGCAGACTTGAACCAGCACTGACAGGGAGTGAGGATGCCCTGAGTGGTAACTAATCTACTGTGCCACAACACTCTTTCCTGGAATTTTTGATGTACCTTTGTGTTAGAAGTGGGTGATGAGGACAATATAGTAATGTGATTTAAAAAAAAAAAATCATGCCATCTTATTTTTACAAGATCACTCGCCATTATAAGAATTTTAAATAAAGGCTAATTTTTACTTGAAGTAATTAAAGATGACATTTTTAATATATGTAAGCCATTCACTGAAGGCAAATTGGATGCTTTAGGACTCTATTAATTCTGAGATTTGTAGTGTATTACTGTTACACTAACTTACTAATTAAAAGGAAAATACTGCTCATTGCTGATTGGTCTTACTCAGTTTGGGTAATTTTTTTTTTTAGCTGACATGTAAATATAATTCACGAAAGAACTTTTACTCTCCAAAATTCTGCTGTACCTTAATGAATTCTCTCATTCATTCCATTCATTTGGCAGACACTGGTTTAATGTGTGCTGTGTATGCCAGTGCTCTGGGGGAACACAGAACTATAAACATTGCTCCAATGCCAGTTCCTTCAACAACTCTTAATTTCTCGAGGATGTATTCCTCCCACACTCAGAAAAGCAAAAGTTAAAATAATGTTTCTCACGCCTTCCACGCTATCTGAAAAGCCCTTTAATTTCTATCCTATTTTTTTTTTTTTAAAAAAAAAAACCCTTTAACCTAACGTTGGAAAGGGTTAAGATCCTAGGTAGGGTTTTAAGTTACTGTTGTCTTCATTCTAAGTTTCATCCAAACGTGATTTTCAAACAGCACCCTGTGAAGGATGCCCTTGTGAGTGTTGGAGCAGCTGGTGTCACAGTTACCCGCCCAGGATGGTCACTGCGGCTGCCCAGTTTGTGACCAGTACAGATCCCATTAGGGATCAACAGGCCTGAGACTATTTAAATGCATCTCTCTTTTTTTTTTTTCCTGGTATTATCATACTTCTCCCTAAGAAGAGGAGACTTTCTTTTTCAACAAAACTTTGAAACATTTTTGTTTCATTGAGACATATAAAACAAATAGTAAGTGGCCAATAAGTGTTGGTATTATATTATTACCACCAAGAAGTGTTGGTATATGTTATTTGAGTAAATGCACAAGAGTTACCGTATATTAAATAAAGCTATAAAAAAAAGGAGGTCTCTGTCCTCTGGATGAACATCAGAGTAGGAAAACCCACAGGAACAAATGAATTAAAACTATTTTCTTAGTGAGATGGACCTGGTAAGAAAACATCATTGAGCACAGTGTTGCTCAACGGACAGATTTGGAACAATTCTAGGAATTGGATAGTTAATCTTAGTGAATAGTAATGAAGAAAATGAAAAGCAAGATGTTAAAGAGTAATAGTGTTTTTATATATATACATATATGTATATATTTACATATATATATATACATTTATTACTGTTCAAAGTTCTGTCTTTACCACTGGAGAAATCTAGAGTTAGCAGTGTGAAAGAGCACATTTCTGTAGTCTAAGAAATCATTGTATTACGACACTGCTTTTAAGTTCGCTTGTTTATTAATGAATTCAGGAGAAACATGTTATCCTTAACTGACATATCCAAGATATGAATTAATGGAAGATCCCAACCAAGCTATCGAATGGCTGATGCAGCTGATCAGCGTTGTTCCAACTGATTCTAGAGCTCTGTCTAAACTAGGAGAATTATATGATAGCGAAGGAGACAAATCCCAAGCATTTCAATATTACTATGAGGTAAGTGTGTCATTTCAGTGACACTGTGAGGTGGGTGTGTCATCTCAGTGACACTGTGGGGTGGGTGTGTCATTTCAGTGTCACTGTGGGGTGGGTGTGTCATCTCAGTGTCACTGTGGGGTGGGTGTGTCATCTCAGTGACACTGTGGGGTGGGTGTGTCATCTCAGTGTCACTGTGAGGTGGGTGTGTCATCTCAGTGCACTGTGGGTGGGTGTCATCTCAGTGACACTGTGGAGTGGGTGTGTCATCTCAGTGTCACTGTGGGGTGGGTGTGTCATCTCAGTGTCACTGTGGGGTGGGTGTGTCATCTCAGTGACACTGGGGTGGGTGTGTCATCTCAGTGTCACTGTGAGGTGGGTGTGTCATCTCAGTGTCACTGTGGGGTGGGTGTGTCATCTCAGTGTCACTGTGGGGTGGGTGTGTCATCAGTGTCACTGTGAGGTGGGTGTGTCATTTCAGTGTCACTGTGGGGTGGGTGTGTCATCTCAGTGTCACTGTGGGGTGGGTGTGTCATTTCAGTGTCACTGTGAGGTGGGTGTGTCATCTCAGTGTCACTGTGGGGTGGGTGTGTCATCTCAGTGTCACTGTGGGGTGGGTGTGTCATCTCAGTGACACTGTGGGGTGGGTGTGTCATTTCAGTGTCGCTGTGGGGTGGGTGTGTCATCTCAGTGACGCTGTGGGGTGGGTGTGTCATCTCAGTGTCACTGTGGGGTGGGTGTGTCATCTCAGTGTCACTGTGAGGTGGGTGTGTCATCAGTGTCACTGTGGGGTGGGTGTGTCATTTCAGTGTCACTGTGGGGTGGGTGTGTCATCTCAGTGACACTGTGGGGTGGGTGTGTCATCTCAGTGACACTGTGGGGTGGGTGTGTCATCTCAGTGTCACTGTGGGGTGGGTGTGTCATCTCAGTGTCACTGTGAGGTGGGTGTGTCATCAGTGTCACTGTGAGGTGGGTGTGTCATTTCAGTGTCACTGTGGGGTGGGTGTGTCATCTCAGTGTCACTGTGGGGTGGGTGTGTCATCTCAGTGACACTGTGAGGTGGGTGTGTCATCTCAGTGTCACTGTGGGGTGGGTGTGTCATCTCAGTGTCACTGTGAGGTGGGTGTGTCATCTCAGTGTCACTGTGGGGTGGGTGTGTCATCTCAGTGTCACTGTGGGGTGGGTGTGTCATCTCAGTGTCACTGTGAGGTGGGTGTGTCATTTCAGTGTCACTGTGGGGTGGGTGTGTCATCTCAGTGACACTGTGAGGTGGGCGTGTCATTTCAGTGTCACTGTGAGGTGGGTGTGTCATTTCAGTGACACTGTGAGGTGGGTGTGTCATCTCAGTGTCACTGTGAGGTGGGTGTGTCATCTCAGTGTCACTGTGAGGTGGGTGTGTCACTGTGAGGTGGGTGTGTCATCTCAGTGTCACTGTGGGGTGGGTGTGTCACTGTGAGGTGGGTGTGTCATCTCAGTGTCACTGTGGGGTGGGTGTGTCATCTCAGTGTCACTGTGAGGTGGGTGTGTCATCTCAGTGTCACTGTGGGGTGGGTGTGTCATCTCAGTGTCACTGTGAGGTGGGTGTGTCATCTCAGTGTCACTGTGAGGTGGGTGTGTCATTTCAGTGATACTGTGAGGTGGGTGTGTCATTTCAGTGTCACTGTGAGGTGGGTGTGTCATCTCAATGTCACTTAGGTGGGTGTGTCATCTCAGTGTTACTGTGAGGTAGGTGTGTTACCTCTGTTGTGTGTGTGGTTTTTTTTAAAGATTTATTTTATTTTTATTGGAAAGGTGGATATACAGAGAGGAGAGACAGGTTCACTCCCCAGGCGGCCGCAACGGCTGGAGCTGAGCCAATCCGAAGCCAGGAGCCTCTTCTGGGTCTCCCACAAGCTCCCTGCTTGTGGCCTGGGAAAGCAGTCGAAGACAACCCAAAGCTTTGGGACCCTGTACCCGTGTGGGAGACCTGGAAGAGGTTCCTGGTTCCTAGCTTCGGATCAGCATAGCATCAGCCCTAGGATAGGCATAGCATCGGCCGTTGCGCTCACTTGGGGAGTGAGTCATCAGATAGAAGATCTTCCTCTCTCTCTCTCTCCTCCTCTCTGTATGTCTGACTTTCCAATAAATAAATAAATCTTTTTCAAAAAATCAGTCCAATGAATGAGCGAAGATGTTTAAAAAAAAAAAGAAAGAATTTCTTTCTCATAATTAGAGAAAGACAGAGAGAGAGAGATTTTTTTATCCACTGGTTCACTGCCCCACGTGATCACGAGAGAGAGCTGGGTCAGGCAGCAGTGGGAAGCCAGGAGCTGCCCTAGTGTCTCCTGTGGGTACCGAGACCCAAGCACTTGAGCCCTGTTCTGCTGTTTTCCCTGACACAGTGGCAGGGAGCTGGATTGGAAGTGGAACAATCAGGACTCAAACTGGCACCTCTATGGGATGGTAGTATCTCAAAAGGCAGTCATACTTTTTTATTAAGGCACTTTTCACATTGATAAAATAACGTATTCAGTACTCAAGCAAATTATATGTTAGCACTAAAGTGACCAGATTTTGTATTTTTTTTTTCCAGTCATATAGGTATTTTCCCTCTAATATTGAAGTCATTGAGTGGCTTGGAGCCTATTACATTGACACACAATTTTGTGAAAAAGCCATTCAGTACTTTGAAAGAGCTTCTCTCATACAGTAAGTGATTATTCGGATTTTGTTTAGCTAATGTCTTATGTTGGGTTTTTTCACACTAGAATCCTAGCATATTAAAGAAAAGCTATTAGTGTCCATTCATTAGTTCTCTTTTCTTGAATTTTATTTGGATTTATCTTTATTGTGATGGATATATTTCCCTTTGCATGGAATCTGCTTTAAGACAGTCCCTCTTACAGGCTTTTCTTACATACATCTCAGCAAACAACTGTTACTTCTTTTGTGAGAAATGATGATCAGTTAGCATAGCTTCAGTTCTTAGAGTCCTAATAGTAAAAATAAATGACTTTAAATACCTCCAGGTCCATATCAGAATGTTTCGTACATACAATACAAGGAAAATTGGAGTCCATCATGTTCTACTTTGGATTTCGCTACACTGAATTTTAAGATGACGTACAACTTAGAATCATTGGAATCACAGAGCAAGGCTTGATTACTGGATGGTCTCTATGTGGAATTTTATCAGGCAACTGATACTAGGCGCCGTTTCACAACAAATGTTTGGAGAGCTATTAAAACTATGAGGATAGTTTCAGTTACATGTTTAGGATTAAAGCTTTTTATCACACTTAATATTGAGTCCTTGGCTCAGCGAGGACTCCTGTTCTTTAGCGCCTCCGTGTCCCGCCATCCTGTCCTGGACTCCTGTGTGTGGATGTCGCGTGTCGATGTAGCAGTTGATCCCTTCCTCAGTCTGTCTCTGCAGCCCATCAGTGTCCTTGCCTCCGGGGTTCTGGTCTCCCTGCTGTCATTGCTCTTTACCTCCTGGTTCCTGAGCCACCTGGACCTTAACCTGATTCGGAGTGTTACAAGTGTGTTTACACCAATAGAATCCAATGTTACAATATGCAGATGTCTGAACTTCATGTCCCCTCTGTCCAGCTTCCCTGTTGCACTTGCAGACATGCCTCTCTCTGATGATACTGAAGCCTGTCGTCTCTCGCTCTTTCTCTTCTGTTGAAGTCTCGGCCTCCTCCTGGCTTTAATTCTGTCCTAATTAGACATCTTACTTAGTCACATCTGTTGCCTTTCTCACACAGCCTGTGAAGCACTGTCAAAGATAGATTATTTGAGCAGGGGAGTTATTGCCACATCAGTGTGTGTCCTTGTCAGGACTGCTCTTCCATCCTCAGGGCTTCTCACCGGCTTGTTTGCCCTTTTTCAGTTCCTCTCCCTATCTTTTGCTTCAGTTACCCTGAAAGTTGAAACATTTTCCAGAAGCTCTACTAACACTCGTTCTCCCTAGCGACTTGCACATTTGATCTGCCTTAATCACATCACCTCTCGGTGTGGTTTCTGTATCAAACGTCTTACTTTCCAATTTCCATTTTAACTATGCTAAATATTTGATATGTAAGTTTCACAGTAAAATTATACCTTCTTGAGGAGGGCAGTGTTAGTTTTTGTGTCTCATAATCCTTTGCATATTCCAGAATTCTTGATATATACATATAGATGAATTTATTAAATTTCCTCTGTGCTATTTCTTCACTGCAGAATCTTGTTCTATCACTTGACTTTCTATGATTCTTAGTGATTTGAGTTGTTTGAATAATCTTTATGCTACTATTTTACATGATTATTATATTTATAAATTATAACTTAAAAGTTCAAGAAATTTAGTCCTACATTTAAGGTAAGTCCACTGTTGGCCATCAGAGAATGATCTGTAATACCCATCATGAGGGAGGAACAGAAAGATTATTTGAAGAATAACACTTCCTAAATTTGAAGAAAAACATGACATGAGCCAAGCAGCTCAGTGAACTCTAAGTAGGAAATATACAAAGAGTTCCACAGAGAGAGAGATTTTAATCAAACCAACGAACAGAAAGAATCTTAAAAGCAACAAAAGAAAAAAAACATATTCTATGCAAAGAGTCCTCAAAAAGATTACCGACTACTGCTTCAGCAGAACCCTTGGAGGCCACGAAGCAACGGGGTGATATATCTAAAGTCCTTTAAAAAAAATCTGGGATCCCGGGCGTGCAAGGCGAGGACCTTAACCACTGCGCCACCGTGCCCTGCCTGTGGCCAGGGAAGGCAGTTGAGGATGGGCCAAAAGCTTTGGGACCCTGCACCCACATGGGAGACCCGGAAGAGGCTCCTGGCTTCGGATCGGCATAGCATCGGCCCGTTGCGCTCACTTGGGGAGTGAATCATCGGACGGAAGATCTTCCTCTCTGTCTCTCCTCTCTGTATATCCGCCTTTCCAATAAAAAAATAATAAAATAAATCTTTTAAAAAAAATCTGGGAACCAAGAAATCTATATCTGGCAAGTCAATTGAAGAATAAAGGAACAATTAAAACACTTCTGCATTAACAAAAGCTGACCATATGATGGGCTCACGTCTCAATAAATCCTTCTGGGTGAGAAGACCAAAGGATCCAAATTGGAAGGGGTGAAGTGAAATGATCTCCAGTCGCATATGACATGATTTTATATGTAGAAATCTATAAGGACTTTTGAAAAAAAGTTTTAGGTCTAATCAGTTCAGCAAAGTTGTAAGACATAAAATCAGCACACAAAAATCATTGCTATTTGTTATTTACCAAGAATGAGCAAAACTTAACAAGAAATTGAGGAAAATAATTCCATTTATGATAGCACCAAAAAGTGTAAGAAACCAGGCATTCATTTAAAGAAGTGAGAGGCTTTTCTGGGAATACCATAAAACCTAAGAAAATGAAAGAAGGCATAAATAAACAAAAAGGAACCTTGTGTGTGGTTTGGCAGATGTAAAATTATTTAAATAGCAATACTATTCCAATCTGCAGCTTCAGTATAAACTATCCAGATCGTGTTTTTTTGAAGAAACTGAAGAACATACCCTGATATTTATTTGCAATCTCAAGGAACTCAGAATATACAAAACAATTTGAAAAAGAGGCAAGTTGGAGGACTGACACTTCTGATTTCAAAATGTGTAACAATGCTGCAATAACTAGAACAATGAAGACTGACAGAAGGGTAGACTACTAGACCAACAAAAGAGAGTCCAGAATTGAAAAAAATAGGTCCTTACATGCATGCTACATTGATATTCATTAAATATGTAAAAACTGTTCAATGGAAGAGGTTTGTTTCTGTTAAAAAGTGCTTAGAAAACCAGATCGGTGCATTGACAAATGAAAGTTGGAGTCTTACCTTACACCACATAGTAAGGATTGACTCAGAGTGGACTAAGGACCCAGATAGAAGGCTGACAACTGTAGAAATCTTTTTTTTTAAAGATTTATTTTTATTATTTTTTTATTGGAAAGGTGGATATACAGAGGAGAGACAGAGAGGAAGATCTTCCGTCCGATGATTCACTCCCCAAGTGAGCGCAACGGCCGATGCTATCCCGATCTGAAGCCAGGAGCCTCTTCTGGGTCTCCCACACAGGTGCAGAGTCCCAAAGCTTTGGGCCGTCCCCGACTGCTTTCCTGGGCCACAGGCAGGGAGCTGGAAGGGAAGCGGGGCTGCCAGGATTAGAACCGGCGCCCATCTGGGATCCCGGTCGTGCAAGACGAGGACCTTAACCACTGTGCCACCGCGCCGGGCCTGACAACTACAGAGATCTTACCAGGAGACAAGGGAAGTGTTCCCTCAGTCGAACTCGGCAGTGGTTTCTTAGGTATGACACCAAAAGCACAAGAATTGCATAAGTTAGGTTCATTAAAAGTTTTAAAATCTGCATAGGAAATGAAACAAGCAAAAAAATAAAAAGCCAACCCAACCCACAGGAAGGTAAAGCATATTTACAAATCCTGTATTTGATAAGGGGTTAATGTGCCAAAAATATGAACAGGCCCTGTAACTCAACATCAGCAACAACTGGAAAACCCAATTTAGAAATGATTTTGGAAGACAGCTGTGCGTATAGTGGACTGCCCATACCTCGATTAACCTTAAAAATGTGATTTTTTTTTAGACATTTACGTATTTTTATTGCAAACTCAGATAAACAAGGAAGGAGGAAAGACAGGAAGATCTTCCATCCATTGATTCACTCCCCAAGTGTCCGCAGTGGCTGCAGCTGCACCCATCCAAAGCCAGGAGCCAGGAACCTCCTTGTGGGTCTCCAACGGAGTTCCAGGGTCCCAAGGCTTTGGGCTGTCCTCCACTGCTTTCCCGGGCCACAAGCAGGGAGCTGGATGGAAAGTGGGCTGCTAGGAGACATTGCCCATAAGGGATCCCAGCGCATGAAAGGTGAGGATTTTAGCTGCTAGGCTACCACAGTGGACCCAAAGGGGATTTTGAAAAGATGTTTCTTCAGAGATGATATGCAAATGGCCAGTTAGCATGTGAAAAGATGCTAAACATCATGGGTTATTCGTGAGGTAAAAGCAAAAGCAAAATGAGATACCATTTCATACCTTACAGGAGAATGAACAGCATAAGGAGAAAAGCAGCAGTTATTGTAGATGTGGGAAATTGGAACCTTTTTGTTCTGTCTGGGGATTGTGAAGTGGCGTTTAATGGAAAGCAGTCTGGAAGTTCCTCAGGAAAGCTTACCCTAGAATTCCTGTCCGACCCAGCGATTTTAGTCTGAGGTATAAACACAAAGGTGCTGACAGTGAGACTTCAACTAACACTGCAGAGCTGCGTTATTATCAATATCCACAAGTTGGGGCCCAGCGCAATAGCACCTGGAACGCACCAGGATCCCACATGGGCGCCAGTTCTAATCCTGGCAGCTCCACTTACCATCCAGCTCCCTGCTTGTGGCCTGGGAAAGCAGTCGAGGATGGCCTAAAGCCTTGGGACGCTGCACCCGTATGGGAGACCTGGAAGAAACTCCTGGCTCCTGGCTTCGGATTGGCGCAGCACCGGCCATTGCAGTCACTTGGGGAGTGAATCATCACACAGAAGATCTTCTTTTCTGTCTCTCCTCCTCTCTGTTTATCTGACTTTGCAATAAAAAATAAATAAAATAAATAAATCTTAAAACGTGATCTAACGTAGTCAAAAACGGTGTGATGCTTACATGATGCTTTATAAAACCATTTGAACATCACAGATACCTGTATTGTGCCTCTGATTTCATCTGATGTCTTTGTCTTTTAGGCCGACACAAGTAAAATGGCAGCTGATGGTGGCTAGTTGTTTTAGAAGAAGTGGTAGGTGCTTTCATTGTGTTCATTCAATACCTCTCTTTGAAATGATGCACTGTTTCTCAGAACTGACACGTCATCATTTTCACAAATTAGGCGTGGGAATCAGCAGGCATCCTGATGTATTCATTTCGATTTCCACCTTCTCGATGTCACGTGCGCTCAGCCAGGTAGCTCAGGGCTGGAGCAGCCGGGATTACACAAGCTTTACCCCAGAGCCCACAGCTCCCTTGCTTTTCTGTTACTTTTATTACAATCCGTACGGGTTCCGTGATGAAACTTGTCTTGAAGGGTAGAGCTGCTAATAATTGTAGACTATGAATTGAATGACCATGTGCTGAAAAACATTTATTTATTTATTTATTTCGATGATTTTTACATAGTTAATTAGGGTGGTATGGGTCAAGGACTACAGGAAGGTGGGTGATGCCATTATTTCCACCTTCTCTTTTTTTCCTTCCTGTATCTGGGGAAAGGATGGAGAGAAGGAGAGAAGCTCCACCCAGCCTCCCAACTGCCTTTGCACCCTGGGATGGATGACAGTCACCAACACCACCCCCAGGCTCCCCATCTGGGGCGTGCTTCCGGGGTCTTGCTCAACAGGCTGTGGTAGTTCAGCAGCTCTGAATTCCTGCTGATGAGATTATACATGCTGTACAGCATAAAAATGACCCAGGAAGGGCCCTGCGCAATGGCCTAGTTGCTAATCCTTGCCTTGCATGCATCGGGACCCTGTATGGGCACCCGTTAGTCTCCCAGCTGTTCCACTTCCCATCCAGCTCCCTGCCTGTGGCCTGGGAAAGCAGTGGAGGATGGCACGGAGCCTTGGGACCCTGCACCCGCGTGGGAGACCCAGAAGAGACTCCTGGCTTGGAAGATGTTTCTCTGTCTCTCTTTTATCTTCATCTGCCTTTCCAATATAAATAACTATTTTTTTAAATGACCTAAGAAAATCCATGGGAAACACTACTTGTGAAGTACTGACTTTGTGATCCCCTCTAGTTTGGGGAGAAGTTTATCCCTATGAGTGCCTTTAAATTAGAATTAGAACTTTCTTTATTTTATTAGTATACAGATAGATTTTATAGCCTGCCTTCTCCATCATCCTCTATTGCCCTCCTTCCCTCAATCCCCCTTCCACTCTTTTATCCTCCTTTAATATTTACAACAGCATAATTACAGTTTGCTTTATAATTACAGGCTTAATGCACCATTAACCATAATGTTCAACAAATAACAAGTAGAAAGACCAGGCCCTGCAGGGTAACCTAGTGACTAAAGTCCTCACCTTGTGTGCATAGCAGTCCCATACGGGCGCCGGTTCTAATCCCGGCAGCTCCACTTCCCACCCAGCTCCCTGCCTGTGCCCTGGGAAGGCAGTCGAGGACGGCCCAAAGGCCTGGTGTCCCTGCACCGGTGCGGGAGACCCAGAAAGAGCTCCTGGCTCCTGGCTCCTGGCTCAGCTCTGGTTGTTGCAGCCACTTAACGAGTGAACCAGTGGTTGGAAGATCTTTCTGTCTCTCATCCTCTCTGTAAATCTGACTTTCCAATAAAAATAAATCTTTATTAAAAAGAAGTAGAAAGACCTCAGTTTCATAGGAGTATTGACAAGGGTTATAAACAGTAATCAAACCACAAGATAGCAATGTCATTCATTGTTATACTTTTCCTTATATTCTGTATTAACTACCACATATTGGAAAAAATATATTTGTCTTTTGAGTACTGGTTTATTTCACCCAACATTGATGATTTCCAGCTGTATCCATTCTGTTATAAAAGGCAAGATTTCATTTTTTCTGTAAATATTTTAATACATATTTAGGTTCCTGCTCAAATCATTTACACTTACTGCCCTTTCTTTTGGCTAAACAACACAATTTTATTTATATCTGCATGAATTCTCATTTCCGTGTCAGTCACGTGATGCATGCATCCAAAGGCACTGTCTGGAATGTGCTGGAATGTGAGACATTGCCCAGGAGTCGCACAAACTGCCATGTGCTGTGTGCTCTTCATCTCTTTCATGCAGCTCTCCAAAGAACAAGAATACCCGCCCACCCGCCCCTCACAGAGAGGAGCTTCCAGAAGTTCGTGGAAAATATGTTTCCTGAGAAAACTCCATGATCTTCACAACTTTTACACCAAAATAAACTTATTTTTTTTATAAACTTTTAGAAGTATTCTTGCACAGTGAGGCCTAAAAAGGTTTATAACTGGCTTTCTAAGACAAGTAACAATCATTGTCCCAACCCCATTTTTCCAATTCTTTGCTCTACATGTTATTTTATTCTAGAACAATTTCTTACATAAACTTTTTAATAGCTTTAGAAAAAATATTTTTTAAATTGATTTTCATTTTTTCCAAAAACACAGATGACATTGAAATTATTAATATGTCACTTATTTTTTTTTAACTTACGTTATTTTAAATTCATTAAGTGTTCACTTGGGATAATCTTTGCTTTAGAAAATAGGATGAATCTTAGTTTTTTGCCACTGAAATATTTAATTTAAATGTGGAAGTAAATTTTATCCATCTGCTTCTACTTTAGATCTTTTTCAAATTGGCATTACATGTTTTCCCTCTGGGTGTGTTAAGAATGATGTGAGTCGGGGAATTGGAGTGCCTTCGGAGGCCAAGAACTCTGAGGTCATCCACTCCATCTGGATCTCCCACATGGGATGGAAGAAGCCCAAATCCTTCCTTGCACATCCAAGGTCATCGGAACAACAGCCAGGAGCCCTGAGCAGTCAGAACAGTAAACTTTTCTTCGGGACTAGGGAGAGAGCTTTCTCTGGTCCTTACTTAGTTCCAACTTTGGATCCCCAACCTCTCCTGCAGTGACCATCTCCTACACCCCAGAGCCCCCCCTCAAAACAAAACGAAACAAAAAAACAACAACAAACAAATTAGAACAGATAGACAGAGAACAACAAGGAAAGCTTAGAACCAGACAGGAAACAGTCAGAGGGGACTCACATATACCTTACTAGGTAGGACACAAAAATAAGTTACTCCTCTCTGCACACCCCTCCTAAAACTGTTCTGTGCCTCAATTGTTGACATATGCCTTGTTAAAGTTATAAGCCATTTTGGACTATGCTAAAATCTGCCAAGTTCAATAAAAATTATGCTTCAATACAATAAACTGCTAAATATAAAAATGAAAAAGACACGAGACAGCTGAATAGTACCCTATAACCATTTTAAGGTGGATAGAAGCCAGTTGTGTAGAAACTAAAATTGAAATGTCAATGAAGTAGTCACAGAATATGGTTAAGAACTTGCATTTTCTAACATATCAGTCACTCAATACCATGCCAACTAACTCCATAATGTTGTCAATTGTTGTGGATGGTTTGTTGTGGCTTTTAATTGATCAGGACGATATTCTGCCAGCTCTGCCTTCAGACCAGAGATGGTCTCGCCAAGAAATTGTTGAATTGATCTAGGCAATAAGATGCTGGACTCTATTATACATGGTACATGCTTGCAATGAAAGAAGCATGACTGGATTTGAACTGTAATACTGCAACAAGGTGGAGTAATCCACCATGGGGATGATACGGGGAGGGGTTGGGGGAATCCCAGAGCCTATAAAACGATGTCATAAAATGAAATGCAATTAAAAAAAAGAAAGGAAAAAAAGAATGATGTGAGTATGTTTGTGGCAGATATGCATACCATTAAAGAATATCACCATTTTGTATTTAAGTTAATATTTTGTTGGATCCTATTCGTTCTATAATTTATTAATATGTTATATTTTTCTATTTTTTACTTACAGGTAACTATCAAAAAGCATTAGATACTTACAAAGATATTCACAGAAAATTCCCAGAAAATGTTGAGTGTAAGTGACAATACTTTTTGTAACTTTATAAATTATCCCATTTTTAAGTTCTAATATATAATTACATTTGCTACTTTAATTGTGTACATATAAAGGCTGACCTATAATTTGTGATACATATGTTTAAATATTTTTATAGGATCAGAAAATTTGACTAAGTATGCATTTTTTTCACGCTTTTATCACAAGTCGATATCTTTTATTTAAAATTAGAGAAGTATTTTATTTCAGCCTACAACAGAGCAAGTGAGAAAAATTGCAAAATGAATTAGAGGGCAAGTTAAAACACAGAAGTTGCTTTACACTGATTAAGTGAAACACTTACTCAAATGGAATATTTGCTGCTGGTCACAAGCAGCCAAGAAGCAGATGAATTGTTATAGATTTCTACAGTTCTGATCCTAAGATAACCATTTGTTTGATCACAGCCATCAACACTGTGGTCATTCCTTCCTTCAATCAAGGAAAGGACCACTCGTCCCTGGTCTCTCTGGGACTCTGCTAGAGTGTAGGTGTTCAGCAACCATGTGTTAAAAACAGTAACTCTGCCTGTGTCGAAGTCAGGTATCTTATCCTAACAGATTGCCTCTCTCTCAATTTCTAATGTTTTGGTGTTGGATTGGTTCTCACGAACAAGTTATGTAGCCTCAGTTTTGCCGTCTGTAAAGCAGGGATATTTTTCTAAGTGATGGAGGATATCCTTCCGGGGGTTAGGCAGAGTGTTGTCTGCAAAGCCATTAGAGTGTTGCACCTAACCTAGGAAACTGATGTGTCTCTTGAACATTCTCCACTGAGTAAGTCCGGTTGTCTGGCTACCTACCCTCTGCACTGATGGTTTGCCTCCCTTTAAGGGGAATAACGTTTCTAAAATCTTCAGTGTGAACTAAATGTGATGCTTGTCTCAATAAATGACAGCTTTTCGTTTTTCTCTGGGATGCTAGATAAATGCTTCGTAAGTATGCATTTTTTTTACAACTTTGATTTTGATTGATTTAAATATTCCACCAGGTTCTCTTCAAAACAAACATGTGCTTCAGACTTTTCCATAATTTTAAGAAAAAATTTGAGTTTATCAGTTCTTCAGAGTTCATAAATTTCAATGTAAAATAGAAGGCATCTTTCACTTCATTTTAGTGTGCAATTTTTGAGGCTGAAAAACACTGTACTGAAACCAAATGATTTTTGTTACTCTAATTTTAACACATGTTAACATGGCATCAATTATAAAATTAGCTTTGTAGAAAACACTAGTTCATTAGTTTTCCATTTTATACATTTTATACGATTTACAGTAACCTGTAGTATCACAACAATGACACAAGAGCAAAATCAGGCTTAAGGAAAAATATAGCTATATTTATATGCTGTCTGTTCCTATTACATTATAAATTTGGCCCTGAAGAGCATTGCTTCCAAAGGAAAGAAAAAAAGTTATAATCAGTGTTTAATGAATAATTATCTTAATCCATTCATGTTGAGAAAGTGATAGAAGTCACAAAGTCATTGCAAGATACAATAGATACATTTGCTACTAATTTCTCTTTCAAATAAAACATTTGCAAAGGTTGTGTTTAGTTTTGTCTTACAATGTTAAAGAGCATAAAGCAACACATGACCCGTGAGTGAAAACAAATATTTTTCGAGACATTTTGTGATGGCCTAGCCTGATCAACCAATGGAGGGTACTGCATATTCCTTCGTTAACATTATTCATTTGGCTTTTGAGTTAATCCTCCCCTACTGATTAGAAATAGATTGCCTAATTCACAGGAGCAATTTCCAAATGCCCCTCAGGAAGCAGGCAATGTGGGGATTAAACCTACTTACGGAAATTCTCCTTCAGCTTCACAGTAAGATCCATCTGGGTTGGCTACTTTGGTTTGGTTTGGTTTGTTTTGCTTTGGTTTTTTGCTATTTCTTTTTAAAAATCCGTGTGATTCTTGGTCACCTTTTGAAATTAAAGGAGAGACAGCTTACGTAGATTAGATGAGAAATAGTTTCCTGTGGCAGGGTGGAGCCGGCGGTGCCCAGAGGCAGAGCTGCTCAGGCTGGGCACCCTGGCGCTGGAGACTGGGCGATGCTGAATGTACAGGCCACCCTGTGGACGGTGCTTAAACAGCCTCGCTGGCCCTTAGCACACTCACCCACCTGTGCCCTGAGGGACCAGACGACCCCGGTCCTGCGCTGCGACTGTCTTTAAGCAAAGCCAGGCTTCTTGTTGTTCTTGTTCTTTAATACAACTTTGAAGATTTTCAAGTAAAAATTAAAATGAATGACTATTTTTACCATAAGGAACGTCCACATTGACATTTGCCCATGTAGTATTCCAAACACATGTAAGCCGCAGTCTGCCCTAACCATAGCCATGGAAAAAACATCTGCATCAAGAACTGTCCCAGAGAGCTTCGCTGAAGGTGCTTCCCCCACAACTGACCTGCTGTACACTTAGAGATGATTTCCTAATCCCAGGGGATGGCCTCCAAAAACGGTGATTTATTTAACAATAAATAGTCCTAAGCCACTCTTTCTAAGGACAGATACATGAGAGAAAATGGTGATTATTACTGCTGCGTAGTAGCCACTCGTCTGGCACTGCGGATGGGGCAGAAAGCTAGACACACTGAAGCACTAGGTGTTGTCTCTGCTGTCTAGCGGAACGAGAAGGTGATACGCAAATACAGAATAGGTCAGAAAGCAGAGGTGCTGTGGGGCAGGGATTGTGGCCCAAGATCCCAAGCTCTTCGCCGAGATGCCCACATGCCACATGGCTGCCTGGGTTCAAGGCTTCTGGCTAAGGCACCTGGCAAGGCGGCAGGCGGTGGCTCAGATGTTTCAGTCCCTGCCACCGATGGAGAGACCTGCGTGGGGATAGACCCCGGCTCAGCTTCAGCCTGGGCAAGGAGACACAACAGTGTGTAATTTACTTCGAAATGTGGCTTGTTCTGAAAAATGTCACAAATTGAATATGTATTTTTGTACACTGAAAAGAAAATGCACTATTTAAGAACTGTAAGCCACAAAGACAAAGAAATCATTAAATTTTGAAAGTCTGGGAGCATTTTCTGTTTAGTAGATTAGATGTTAGCTGCAGGGATAGGCAGGTAGGAGACAAGTCAGCCAGAAGCAAAAGATTCCTGACATAGAAGCCCGTGCCCGGAACTGGAGGTAACCGGGAGAGGGGGGTAAGCTGCCTGCAATCTTGGAAGGACCAGCTAGACTTCCAAATTGGTCAACAGGAATTTGGCATGAGGCTGTTTGGAGTGGGTAACGTGGAGAGATTCGTTTCAAATATATTTGATAATGTCAAAATGATGACTTGTCAGAAACAGGAGTAAAGGAATAGTGGATATATTGAAAAGAAGATACAAAAAGAAGAGATGGTTTTGGGGAGGTAATATCAGTTTGAGGTAGGTTTTCTTTGTTTCTTTTTTTTTTTAAAGAATTTATTTCTTTACTGAAAAGAGGGGGAGACAGAGCTGGATTGGTGGCTCGATCTGAGCTGGGCCAGCGGGAGGAGTTGGGAGTGCCAGCCAGGTTGTGTGCTGGCAGGGACTCAGCCCTGCTTGTCAGGGTCTGCTCTGGCAGAAGACTGGGATCAGGAGCCAAAGCTGGCAATCTCAAGTTCTTTGTTACGGAATGAGCTGTCCGAAGTGACAATGTAAGTTGACATGCCAGCTACCTGTTCTACCGGTTACCTGCAGTGACCTTAATTGCTATTGTATGGGCTGAAATAAATTATTTTAAAATGATACAATGACAAATTTTAAAGTAACTGTATTTAAGTTTAACTGTAAATGGCAGAAGCCATTTTAAAAAAAATTTTTTTTTTATTGGAAAACCAGACAGAAAGGAGAAGAGACAGAGAGGAAGATCTTCCGTCCGGTGGTTCACTCCCCAAGTGGCCGCAGTGACCGGAGCTGAGCCAATCTGAAGCCAGGATCCAGGAGCTTCTTCTGGGTCTGCCACGAGGGTACAGGGTCCCAAGGCTTTGTCCCATCCCTGATTGCTTTCCCAGGCCATAGGCAGGGAGCTGGGTTGGAAGTGGGCCATCAGGACTAGAACTGGCTCCCATATGGGATCCTGGCACATGCAAGGTAAGGACTTGATCCACTAAGCTATCACTCTGCGCCCAGCAGAAGCCATTCTTACAGATGTAAAAGCCAAGTAATAAGTTTGCTAACATCCACTGCATGCTCCAAGAATCACATTAATGCAGGCCCAGCATGGTAGTGTAGCTATTAAAGTCCTCGCCTTGAATGCACCGTTATCCCATGTGGGTGCCGGTTCTAATCCTGGCAGCTCCACTTCCCATCTAGCTCCCTGCTTGTGACCTGGGAAAGCAATCAAGGACAGTCCAAAGCTTTGGGATCCTGCACCCACGTGGCATGGGAGACACAGAACGGGCTCCTGGCTTCGGATCAGCTCAGCTCTAGCTGTTGCGGCCACTTGGGGAGTTAACCATTAGATGGAAGATCTTCCTCTCTGTCTTTCCTGCTCTTTGTATATCTGTCTTTCCAATAAAAATAAATAAATCTTTAAAAAAAAAAAAAAAAGAATGACATTAACTTTAGGACATTGTTTGGTCTGGTTGTTAAGCCAGTGGTTAATACAGCTGCACCCCATATTAACCCCACATTGGGGTGTCTGGGCTCCTCACTCCAGCTTCCTGCTGGTGCAGACACCGGAAGCAGTGGCTTGGGCTGCACAGATCCCGGAAGCAGTGGCTTGGGCTCCACAGACCCCGGAAGCAGTGGCTTGGGCTGCACAGACCCCGGAAGCAGTGGCTTGGGCTCCACAGACCCCGGAAGCAGTGGCTTGGGCTCCAGTAGTTGGGTCCTGCCACCTAGTGAAGCCTGGCTTGAGCTCGAGCTCTCAGCTTCCTCCTGACCTGGCCAGGGGAGGTGTTTGGGCACGTGACCTAGCAGATGGACACTCAAACAAGTAAATAAGAAAAAAATTAAATGAATTCAGTCTCATGGAACTCCTAAGACACTTCTTGGCGCAAAGGAAATTATGACAATTTTAGATACAGTCTTGAATTTAAAAAAAGGAAATTCTGCATACAGTATAATATCACTTTTGTAAGTTCCCAGAGTAAGCAAACTAAATTATCATTTGATGGTATGTATTGAAGGTTGAAAAAAATTTTTTGGAAAAAAATTTAGAAAAGCAAAAAAAAAACAAGGGTGGAATTATGGGAATGCCTAGGAAGCGTGTGTGGGAAGGGCCAGGTACTTTTTGGTTCCTCGCCTGGATGACCACTTAGAGATGTTCACTTCTACCCCATATTGTAATTATTTTATGTATATTTGACATCAGCTCTAAGCCCAATGACCATAAAATTCATTCTGTTTTAATATTCCTTGTGCTTTGCAAATGTTTAGGACTTCTAAAATAATTATTTTCTGGCTGTCAAACGTTTAGTGAGTTATTATATGTGTAGACTCTCAGCAGTGTGTAGACCAGTCTCCCTTACACTATGTATGTATGCGGGAAACTTCCACCAGAACGTGAAGACATGCGCATGCGCCTGTGACATGCTCCCAGCAGTGTCCCGGTGCCCTGTTCTGGCGAGGATCTGGCAGCACAGGGACAGGGCAGAGGGAGAGTCTAAAGTCCCTCCCGAGGGAGTCCTTCCTCTCAGGTCTGGAAGCTGCCGAGTGAGCGGTTCCCGAGAACGCAGCACGGCGTGGCCGTCCTTCCCCGGGTCCCAGGCTGGCGCTGCGACGACGGGCCTTCAGCACGCACTTGCTTTCCTAACTCTGCTTTTCACTGTTCAGGTCTGCGGTTTTTGGTTCGTCTCTGCACAGATATTGGATTGAAAGAAGTTCAAGAATATGCCACAAAACTCAAGAGGTTGGAAAAAATGAAAGAAATCAGAGAGCAGGTATCTACATAGGCCCCAAACTGCTCCCTGTTAATTTTTCCAAAAGTCGGGCTTCTTTGCTTCCAATGTATGGCATCCACAGTGCCAGCCAGAGAAAGGGGTTGAAATATTTTTCTGCTCTGCTGTGGCAGGAAGAATATGTAACAAAATTCTAACTTGGGGATAATATTCTGACAAAAGTATGTTTCCTTTCGGAAGAATTCATGCAGTCTGTAGTCTGTGGCTACCAACAGATAATTGTAATTTTTGATGATGTGAAATGGCCGACAGACCTGAACCCAACAGAGGAAACTGTCCACAATAGTGGTGTTTCTTCTTTAAGCTATTCCCTTAGTAGAACATGGCTCTCAGGATGATATTAGCAGATCTAGAAGCACTTTAAATAGACTTCTGTGTTTTATGAAGAATTAAGATATAACAGTGTTCTTATTTTGAAAGAACACATCCTTTAAATTTGAAGATTGAAAAAATATGAAATGATTTTTGGGCATCTGCCTTTGATAGAAAGAAAATCGGTTCCTGAAGTTCATATTACTGTGCTGAGAACCGAATTCTGAGAGAAGAGTTCATGCCAGTGGAGGGTGTACAGATGAAACCTACTTTTAACATCATTTTAATTCCACGACATCAAATTGAATACAGGTGCCAAATATTGATTAAGTCAGATGAGATGTGAACAGCTATGAAATGTATATATTATCAATGGCAATGAAAACTATCATAATTGCTACAAATACTTTGTGTGATTAATTTAAAAGAATAAAAAAGAAATACATATGTCAAGTCTTTGTTATGGATGTGTAAAACGGAATGCTTGTGGAATCAGTTTCTTCAGACTTCACAAATTTAGACATTAATAGTTTCAAAACTAGTTATCCTGAGTAGTGAACACAAAACCACTGCAAACATGGGTACGGATCCTGCAAACTAACATCTCATAACTTAGAAGCGTTAGCTTCTCTGATTTGGTAGACTTCCAGTATTAACCCTCCTAAATCGTGAGCAGTGGCTTCCCACTGCCTGGGAACCTCCTTGAGCCTTTTTCTTTTTAAGAGATTTTTACAGAGAGGGAGAGAGATCTTTCGTCCGCTGGTTCACTCCCCAGACGGCCGCAGTGGCCAGAGCTGAGCTGATCTGAAGGCAGGAGGAACTCTTCCAGCCTCTCACGGGTTCCCAGGGGCCCAAGGTCTTGGACCATCCTCCACTGCTCCCCCGATCCACAAGCAGGGACTGAGATGGGCAGTGGGGCAGCCAGGTCACTTTTCATTTCTAATCACTACTTAAGGTACGATTTATCAAAATACATAATAAATGTTTGTCTGTTTTACTAATAGACCTTTTTATATTCATCTGTAACTTAAAAGTATAAAGCTACCTTTTATAGTTAAAGGATTTTAAGGATTTCCACTGAGAATAACTTCAAAAAGTATTAGACCAACGGTTAGCACCGACCAATTTGATTTATGTATGCACGTATTTGGATCAGAGATCTTCCCTCCACTGGCTCCCTCCCAAATGCCGTAGCAGGTAGAGCTGATGAGCCTGGGCTGGGCCCAAGCTGGGAAGCAAGAACTGCCACCTCCCAGGTCTGCATTTGCAGACTTGGGAATTCTGAACGAGGTGGACAGCTCAGCTTCTTTCCCTGAGGAACTGATTCTATATATGATGAGTTAGTCCTGAAGTTTATAGAATAATGCTAATTTTACATATCAACCTTTAGGGGCCAGTGTGCCAGTCCTATACCCTGTGATGCCAGCATCGCAAAGGGGCACAGTTCATGTCCTGGCTACTCCACTTTCAATCCAGCTCCCTGCCCATGGCCTGGGAAAGCAGCGGAGGGTGGCTGAAGTTCTTGGGCCCCCCATGCCCACCTGAGTGACCTTGAAGAAGCTCTTGGCTTCTAGCTTCGCATCAGCTCAGCTCTGGCCATTATGGCCACTTGGGGAGTAAATCAACAAATGGAAGACCTTCTCTAGCTTTCCTTTTCTCTGTCTAAGTTCTGCCTTTTGGATTAAAATAAATAAATAAATCTTTCTTTTTAATCAACCATTGGTTGAATTTAGCTTTGAAGGAGAATCGCTTCTTCTAAATGTGTTTTCTCATTGCTTTAGCGCATAAAGTCGGGCAGAGATGGCAGCGGGAGCTCCCGTGGCAAAAGAGAGGGCAGTGCTGGCAGTGGTAAGTGTCTTATTGCTCTCGAAAGACTAGGCTTGACAGCTTTCTAGTGCACAGGCTTCTAGAACCGTCTTATAGTAATTCCAAAGCGTCCTTTATCTGTTTGTGTGCTTGTTCGTTTTCTACACAGTAAAACCTCACTTGCTCCAATTAATTTGATCAATCTGATATGTGCGCAAGTACTGACTAACAGCTTTTATTTCTTACATGATCGTGTTAGTTTCTGTCAGTTGATGGCTTACCTGGCTCAGGCTGGACAGATATCATGGATAGACATTCTAATGAGGTTTTTCTGTGTTACTTTTTTTTTTTGTTAAGTTTTCATCTAAAGGGAATACCGTGAGAAGTAGGATGGTCTGAAAGAACACCAGCAGCCCCATTCTGTAGTGGCTTGTAGTGTAGACACAGTCCCCGAGTGGGTCACATAGTGTAGACACAGTCCCCGAGTGGGTCATGTAGAGTAGAAGCAGTCCCCGAGTGGGTCACATAGTGTAGAAGCAGTCCCCGAGTGGGTCACATAGTGTAGACGCAGTCCCCGAGTGGGTCACATAGTGTAGACGCAGTCCCCGAGTGGGTCACATAGTGTAGACGCAGTCCCCGAGTGGGTCACATAGTGTAGACGCAGTCCCCGAGTGGGTCACATAGTGTAGACACAGTCCCTGAGTGGGTCATGGTGATTTAGACACAGTGTCTGAGTAGGTTATGTAGTGTAGACGCAGTCCCCGAGTGGGTCATGTAGAGTAAGACGCAGTCCCCGAGTGGGTCACATAGTGTAGACGCAGTCTCAGCGCAAGTTACAACAGCATCTGTGTATTTCCGGACTGGTTCCATAAGTGCCAGAGGCCGCTGGTTATTTGTAAAGCTTCTTGCTTCTCTGAAATTCTTTGATGCTGTCTGTGGTTTATTATGACATTATTAGTAAGAAGCTTTAAAAAAAAAATTTTTTTCCATCTCTTTTTTTCCTATCAATGAGAATCTACCTTTTCTCTAATTCAGGTGGATAACATAAAGCTAAATTTAGCCGAAAGTTGATGGTTTTAAAGAAATTAAGTCAGAAAAAAACAAATGCTAACTTGGGATTTGTGGACATTTGGTTGGCCCTCCATCTGCTGCAATTCTACATCTAAAAATTCAACTCACCACAGGTCAAAAATATTTCAAACAAATGTATGTCTCTATGGAACACATTTAGACTTTTTTCTTGTTTTTACCTAAATAGTACAATATCTATTTGCATAATATTTACCTTGTATCACATATTGAAAGCACTCCAGAGATGACAAAGTACTCAGGAGGACCTGTGTAAGCTCCGTGCAGATGCTGTGCAGTTTATACAGGGCTCAGCCATCACAGGACCTCGTGTCCCTGCGATGCTGAGCAACACATGTACCCAGCTTCTCCCCTGTTCATACCCACCCCCATCCTGCATATGCAGTGGGGCGTCGAAAAAGTCATGGAAAATGGAAATAAAGGATGTTATTTCAGTGCAAAAGTTTTTTGAAATCCATGTAAAATTTTTTTTTTTGCGATGACATCTATCTCGGGGACTTTTTGAAGACCCGTGGGATGACCCAACATAATTCTATTGTCCATGTTTGTGATCTAGGAGCCAGGACAAAGGAAATGAAGTAGGGTTTTAGTCCATTCACGTCACTTCCTGAATGCTAACTGTACGCCGGACGTCAGGCTCAGTACCGCGGTCTTTGCACTCAAGGCAGTCGGGAGCCGTTTGGAAAGCCACTCCCAGAGCTGCTGCAGTGCTGCCATGCCAGGGGGAGGCGTGTGTGCTCTGACTTTCGTAGGGATAGAAAGTGCAGTTAGGACAAACGTTCTTCGGGGGCCTTAGCCCTCTGCCGCCGTGTTCAGGCACTTAGAGGTACCAGTGGCATTTAGTTGTAGCCAGACCACCGGATTCCCCAAGACGCAGTGCAGCCTCTTCAGCTAAACTCACTGTCCTGCCCAGTTGCCATTAAGCCGTTGGAGCAGTGACCCAGAGCTTGAGAAATGAATGTTCCTAAGAGTGCCAGAGACTATCTGCTACATCAGGAAACTGTCTCATGGTCCTGATGGAGGTGGCTGTCTCCCAGCTTCCTTCTAACCCCAAGCCATCTACTTGGACCGTCCTCACCCCTTCCCCTCACTCCTGCTCTTAGCGTATCCCTTCGACAATCTGGATTTGGATTTTGCCGAGTGCTGGTTTGAGAGATGTGGCTTAGCAGTTCATTCTGAGTAAGCAAGAGACAGCTATACTGATCCACAGTCCGTCACATCAAACCTCTGGGGCCAGGGGGTTTATGAAAATGAAAATGTCTAGAGTGCAGTAAGATGACATGGTGCTATATAGCATTAACATTCATGGTGAGCACTTCGATGACACGTATTGTTTCTCCTTGGTGACACATAAAAGTATTCACATTCAGGATGAATAAAGAGCAGACGTGGCTTCAAATCAAGTCAAGTTTTATGGCCAAGAAGTTCCCCTGTTGCTGCCTCTTGCTGTCTGGGAGACCTTCCCCGCCAGTGTTCCTTCAGTCAGACAGTGCCCCGGGACTCAGCAGGTGCTTCCTCCAGGATCTGGCCTCTGCCCTGGCTTCCCCTGCTTCTCTCCTTCCCCTTTCTCCTCTGGTTCGCTTCAGCCCAACACAAAGAATACCTCTCTGTGCGTAGATGAGCTTTCTCCCCTTTCTGTGCTGCTGAGCCCTTTCTCAGTCAGGATTGGATGATGGTCGGTTCTCTTGGCACAAATTTAGAGCACTAAGCAGTCCCTTCCCAGGGTACTTCCTTGCTTCCTCCTGCCTTTTTTTTGTTAGTTCCTGACAGCTTGAGTTCCTGTGTCGGCCCAGGAGTCTTCCCTTCGCCCACACCCTGGCCTGCGTGCCCCACCATGTGCCCCAGGGCTGGCTTTGCCGGCATCGGCCCAGGAGTCTTCCCTTCGCCCGCACCCTGGCCTGCGTGCCCCACTGCGTGCCCCAGGGCTGGCTTTGCCAGCACCACCCAGACATGAGTTTGGAACTTGTGCTTTTGGCTTCCTCTCTCCGGTTCTGGGACCAGGCCACACTAAAGCTGGCCCTCACTGTAAATCAGGTGGTGGAGACCTCTGTCCCTTTCTCACAGCAGTCACCTGCCATGCAGCCTCTGGGGCATCATCCTTATCCACTCTCAGTCCTCATATCGGGATTTCCAGTGCACAGCTTCTCTTAAAGAGAGTTGCTTCACCCATCTTCTACCTCTAACCTGTGAGACCTTGAGATGCACTTTACATTCTGATGTGGAAATGTTTGGCCCTCCATTGCATTAAAATGACAGTTTAGACTAAAGAAAGGGACAGTGTGAGTCCCTGCATATGAGTCTTGCTGTAAGCTAGTTTAATGTATTAAAATGATTGCAGTGTCTGTTACTAGATTTTTATATTGCCTAAAGGGAGCACCGTAAACAACATTAACTAACATATCAGAGTTATGAGTGCTTTTCACATGCTCGATGAGTCTTGAAAACTCTTCTTGTCTTTTGGTTGGGATCAGCCTAGACTCGCTGCAGCCTTAGTTTGGTGGCTAAGTGGTCCTCAAACTGTAGTGGCAGAATCACCTAGAAAATCTACACAAGACTTCCATGCCTGTCCCAGCACACTGGAGTCGGCCTGTGCTTGGGTCCAGCAAGTTCTCAGTGAGAGAACAGACTGCACTGCGGGAACTACAGCCCCGCATCAGAGCAGGTAGCACAGAACTCAGGGGAGTGGAGTGGACAGGGAGAAGCCAGTGCCATGGCCAGATTTCCAGCATGCGACAGTCTTAAGTCATCCAGCCTGTGGCTACGCCCTGTCACTGTCACCAGACAGTCACAGGGGCAGCCTCGGTAAGGTGGAGAGAGCCTGCTGTGCACAGCCATGGAACCACCCACCCATCGCCCGGCACATCCGGGTGCGCAGTAAATGGCAGCTGTTTTACTGTCATTGTTTGATACAAGTTGTATTGAAAATAGTACTAGATTTAGAATTTCTAACATTTATTCCAGAAGTTTCAGTACTTTGCTTTTACAGAATTAGTTTAAAATAAAATGAACGTGTTTTAACCACTTGAAATGAAAATTGCATTGTTCTTTTAATGCATTGCAAATTTGAGGTTAAAATTTAAGCCATGCGGTGCCAAAACACTGACTGATTCAGGTCTTAGGGCTGGGAAATCCACACCACGCAGCTGCTGCTCGTGTGTCTGTCCTGGAGCTGCGAAACGGCCTTCATGTACAGCATTTTCTATTTGACCATGACAGTGCCGTTTTATGATTTATTTAAAATTGCATTTGTTTACTCGGTGATTTTTAGTGTCTTGCTGCAATTTTTAGTTTGACTTTTATTACATCCTGAGTGTAACTGTTCCTATGAAGGTCTAATAGTTCTATGTGACAATATTTTATAAATCAGGGGAATGTGACTCAGTGAACAGAAATGCACGTCACAGTTGACTTTTTGAGAAATGTTCTGATATAAAAGTATGTGATAAGTACGTTTCTTTTTCTTAATAAAGGTCTTATTTTTAGATTGAAGCCCAGGGGAACAAATTCTTCGGCCCAGTGGCCTTGCTGTTGTTTGCCTGGCCTTGTTGGTGTCCCTGGCAGGGGGTGAACATCTGTGCCCAGTGTACACCAGGACCAAGGCAGCAGATGCTGAGCCATTTGCATGTGTGCCCTGCACTGACTCCAGGAAGGGCTGGCGGGCTAGGGACTGTCCTTTCTCAGCGTCCCTCCTGCACACTGTGACCCCAATTTGGCACATCTCTTCGCCCCAGGAATCTGGAGTGGGGTTCTGCTGGATACCCTACTGTCTAACCACACGCAGCCTGCATGTTCCAGAAAGGATGCTTCTTACTAATAAATGTTAGAAGAATGTTAGTGGCACTGTGGCAGTAACGTCTGCTTACAGTCACAATTCCAGAAGCTCCCTGTGTGCTGGATAACCTGCTGATGTCACCTGCAGCATGTCCCCGTTGTCCCACAGGCATTCCCAGGCA